CCCGATGACTCGGCGTGACAGCCGGATTCCCGCTCTAGTTCGATCGGACTGCAGTCTATGCAGCTTCATGGAATGAACGCGTAGAACAATCTAGCGGGGCTGAATAGTCAAGGAATACCTGGATCAAGCTTCCCAGTTAAGATACAGCAGGTTAGGAGTAGGTGATCTCTAGGCTTTCGGTAGTGCGTTGAATGCATTCCCAAAGTAAGTAGACGCTCGAAGTACGTGTCTTTATAATCCCTCAATTAACTTAGTACCCACCCGTAAAACCCTCTCTAGCCCCATTTTGTCCCGGACGAGGCAAGGCGAACATGCCTGGACGCAGTATTCCTGATGAGGCCGAACGAAAGCTGAGAACTGTTTCACCAAAATGCAGCCCATCAAGATTCCGAATGAACGTCGTATTAACCACAACATGCGGAAACCTCTGCTTGCGGTCTTCTTCCAGTTGTTGCCGGAGTAAAAATTTGAAGAGCGTACGACGTCTAGATCAACCTGGCTAGATACACGGGGAAGTTCGACCCAACCGAGCAAGTACTTCGCAGGTGGACAACCACTAAATCGAAGAACGGAGCATATTTGCCTTATTTATGGAAAGTAGGCATAAATTAGACCAGTCCCAAAGCCTCCCCAGGGCACGCTGAATAGCTTCAGAACCTCCAGGAACATCGACAATATTCCACCGCTTTAAGTCATTAGCAAATAATAGCGATGATACCTCAACATCCGCGGGTGGGTCATTCACATAGGGAACAGCAGCGGTCAAAGGACTGAAATCTGCGACTCCACGGAGGATAGACGACAGGCCACTGCCTACCCGTACACGCGGTTCTCTACCATTCAAGGCAGTTACCCAATGAAGGGCGCGGCCAGATACCCTATAGGGCAACTTTGCGCGAGCCTCAAATGGGGTACCTTGTCAAATGCTTTTAAAAAATCGACGAAAAGCGCGTTTAGTGCGTGGCCGTTATCCACTTTCGCGAGCCATCAATAGATTCGCCAGAAAGGAAAATCGCTTCCGGAATCCGCGTTGTGCATTGCTATTTAGATAAAAGTCTACTAAGATGACTCTCTAATGAATCTCTCACCAGTTTCTCGAGGAGTTTTACTACTACACCCGCCAGACTAACTGGCCTGTAATCTCCAGGCAGACTCCTGTCCCCATTATTGAAGATGGGACAGATGACAGCTTCCTTCCAGTCAGGTAGTATACAGCTGTCCAAGTAATTTCTGGTACACGATAGCGAGCAGTCCACATAGTTCCGCAAAAAACTTACGCAACAGTTTCGGGTGAATTAAATCAGGCCCAAAGTTCTTAGGAGAATTCACACCATGTAACAGCTTGCGAACTTCCGTCTCCGCTACAATAAATTTAAATAGGCCCGAACTTTCTGGGATCCTTAAACCAGCTCAACGCTTGTCAAAGAGGTTTACCCTACAATTGTTGCTGCATATTGTCCACTAAGTACGCAGGCTTTGTCATAGTCCGTATGAGTACCGTCATAACGCATCAACATTGGAATTGACGTGTTCGAACTGAAGCGGCTTTTTGGATTATCTGAAGCTTTGTCTGTTAGCCCTTTCTCGAAATTGAGCCGAGCATTCCTTAGGTGTTGTTTACACATTTCTAGCCTTACAGTGCCTGTCATAAGTGTCGGTAGGTGAGGTATCACGGTAAGTCCGCCAACCTTGAAACCTTTTTTGAGCAGATGGTTGCCAGCGGAATCTATCCAGGGCGGCTGTGCTCATGCCTTCTTTCTTCTTGTGACTAGGATGAAGGGAGCAGACTTAAATTTATCCCAGGCAACCTGGCCCGAGATCTCACAATGGAAACCCGAAGCCTTGGCTCTAATTGATTGATAGCCTGCGTGCCATATGTTCAGGACTCAACAGCACTTTGGTAGCGTGCAGAGGAAGTACAACTGAAGCGCAAACAAACATGATCACTGGAACCCAGTGGAGGTCCGTAAGTAACGTCACTAACAAAATCGAGTGGCTTAGCAAACACAAGATCTAAGATAGATGGTACTTGGCCGCCCATGTACCTAGTGGCGAGGTCAACGAACTGATGCAACGGTATTTGGAGCGTGGGCTTCAGTAGATCAAGGCCGAATTTGCCTGATGCTGTTACAAGAAAGATCTGCCCAGCAAACCCCCGGGAAGTCGAAGTCGCCAATCAACTAACACCAGTTTATGGACTAGGAACGAATAAATTCAAGTACCACTTTGGATGGCTCCCAGGGTTTCTACACACAAGTACAACTAGAACCTGAGTCGAGGATGTGCCGATCACAGCAGGCAGAGCTTCCACAGTATTGTCTGCAGACTGAAATAAGCAAGTCTTCAAGATGTTAAGTTTACAGCTCACATAAAGAGTGACGCCTCCCTGCTGGCCAAAGGAGCGATTGCATCGAAATAGCGCATAGCCAGATAGATGTACTTCACTATCCGTGATGCTCTGAAACAGTCACGTTTCAGTGAATGCGAGTATATCGGGATGAGGCTCATCTACAAACAGAGCTAAGTCGTACACCTTATTCCTTAGGCTGCGCACAATGCTTAGCACTTTCTGAAGGTTTTCATAACGTCCAGACCTAGGTCTGCGTGACTAGAACGGGCAGCGAGAGGGCGGAAAAGCACCGCCGGCTGATCACCCGAAAAACCGCTAACCGGAGACCTTGTTCATCGGCCGCTGGCCTGCTTTGAGGTTCTTAATGGCCTTTAGATTCAGCCTGTCGGCCAGCAGAAGGCCCGGCTGAACACTGATATTAGTACCTTACGGCATAAAAGCAAATCGCGTGAGAACGTTGCGTTAGTCCGGGGTAGGGTACTACACGAAGTAGTCGCAGCTGAGGATTTGGTGCATTAACTGGGACGGTCCCCAGTATAATCAGCTACTTGACAGTAACGACTGCAAAACCAGGCGGAAGCTCCGTTACGCACATTTTAAACCACTGAAAGTCGTCCAACATGCGTTCATCAGGAAGGACAGTAGTGGATTCGCCCGTGTTACGGAATATAACGCTACTATGCGTGAAATAATCACCAGGGGTGTATATACCCCACGGGTCTTCGATTCGAGACTTGGAGCAGGTGGCTTCACAAGTGTTGATGAGAATCCTTATCCTTTCAGAACATGTAGCAACGGTATCGTATATTTTTCGCCTCATTGTTGGTGTCCTATTTTTTCGGGTCATCGAGTCCACCGAAGGGCTTAATGACAGATTTTGTTTGCTTTTTCTTCATGATAACGGGAGCAGGGTCCCGTGAAGTTCATCGCTTTGAGTAGTTAAGCAAACCGTCAGAACGTGCCTTATCGGTGAAAGCCGAGATATCCGGCATGTTCGACTGGCAAGTATGGTGTGTGGGAATTTTCGCTTTTGCACAACCGTCAGACGGCTTGACTAGTAACAACACGGCTTGTTTCCGGTGCCGAGACAACTGCAGCTTTTTGTTTAGCAGAGACATTACGAGGTTTCCTGGCTCTCATTCGCTTAACTCGAATGGACCCTCGAATCAGCAATTCGGCGTCGATCAGGGTAAGGTCAGATATATCCGAATAAACTTCATTTTGGTGGTCCGCAAATATTTGGACGGGTGACAATGATTGGTGTCACAAATGGAGGTAATGATCAAATCGGCGTTATTGGAGACCGGAAGCTTCCTCATGAGCACAACGACCTTGCGGTGAAGATCTGAGCATCGAGAACGAACGCGCTACATTTCGCAGCCGGGCATCAAGAGATTTCTCTATTTTACGAAAGTCCCAGCGACCTTAACGGCGGCTGCAGCAATTGCCACAACTGAAAAGTAACCTTTCACTTAAGACCAAGGCTGCGTACTGTTGGCCATTCAGGTCTGTGCAAAGCTGGTGGTACCATAGATCGCAGACATCGCACAACCTGCTGCCGGAACCGTCAGTTACTGGCATATTGCAGTCGGAACTGCCACAAAGTGCGATAGCTCCAGAATCCAAGGCTCTGGGAACAACAGCCACAGCGCATTTGGAAACCGACAGGGGAATTAACATGTACAAAATAGTAAAACGACATCAATAAAAAGGCAAAAGCGGTGTCAAACGGGATTAAAACTGAGAACAACCGAAAAAATTCCAATTAAGCACCAAAGACGCTTTGATTAGAACCGGTTTAATCGACCAAAAATATCTCTAACCAGAGAAATTTGGCAATAGACAAATTATGTTTAAGTGTTTGTTTAAACACTTTTCCACAAGATTGCAACCAGAAAGGTCGATCAGTATGGCAGGGCAAAAAAAGCGAGTTACTTCGTAGTACTCACATTTTTCTTGGATTATGTTTGCGCCTAACCTTAATTTATTGCAAAGTTACCATTTCTGGCAGTGTCGTAGCAACCGCATCCAGTGCACTTCGACGCTCGGACCATAGTTGTTCAATTGTAATGGACTACAATGAGGTCACCGAGGGGTTGTCGTCACGGCAAATTTCCCGTGGTGAAACAGGAGCTTCCTGGTAGCAACTGCGGATCGACTTAAGAACAGGTGCATTCGAATGCAGTGGTGCGAACAGTGCGTGTAAAGTGCAGCTGCGTTACCAGTTTCAATTCATTTGAAGCCCCTGCCAAAGCAGAAGCCACGAATTCAACTGGGTGAGTGGTCAGTGCGATTTGACGTTTGTCAAAAATATCGAAAAAGTAGTGAAGCTAACCACATCCAAGAAACGTCTGATGGTTTTATTTGAATACTCGACAGCGCCTTACCAGCGCTACCCGAATCGCTGGATGGTACGATAACAGAAAGGCATTACGACCTTCCTGTATATAAAGAGAATGATACCTTTGTTAAAACAGCGCTATTCCAAGCCAAAAGCAAAAAATGAAGGTATGAAAAAACAAGCCATTGAAATGTGACGAGCTCACAAACTGCAGAACAAGTACAATGATGCATAGGTGACCTGATGGTAAGCAAGGCTTAATAATATCAAAAAACTTGGACAAGTGTTAGGATGAAGATATACACCAACCTTGGGCTCCACTTCCTTCATTGCGTCGTATGCATCCTGCGAGTAGTCATACTTCAAGGAAGTCTGAAAATCGTTGAATGCAGCCTCCCACCGACCCAACATTCTATCACAAATGATAAGTCAGAAAATGATCGGAACAACTTGTTTGCGAAACCCCGCCACTTATACGGAGGAGCAGAATCCGGGTTTAGTTCTATTGCTTTATCGCAATCCCGAATTGCTACACAAGGTTTCTTAAGCTTTATGAAACAACTAGCAAATAGGAAAGCAGACTGGAATGAACTACCTTGCTCGTCTGGCGTAGAGTAAAGCAGAGGTCGGGTTGAGTTTGATAGCCTCTGTGAAGAGCTCAACGGCAGCGGCGAATTCGCCTAAAGGGACTCAGAAAAGTGATGTAACACACCTTCAGAATACTTAGATTGCGCCTCAGAACGCTTTTCATCCGCCTTTTCTAGCATATCGTCAGTGACTTCCAACGTTTCGTCCCCCATTTCGGGGTGCGGATCAGTGTCTTCGGGCAAAACATCCACGTCATCAAACTCTGCGTAAATGTGAGTAACATAAACAAAGCTCACCAATCTCGGATTCCGATGTCGTACTCTCGGCCCCAGAATCAACTTCCGGGGACTCGCACTTTTCCGCAGACCGTGAGTTTCCAGTCGCAGAGGTAGGCAATCTGGCACCAAGACTACAAAATAACAGTGAACAGGCATACTAACCTCAAAAGCCATTCCTTAAAGAACGATAAGTCAGGAAGATTCAAAATATCTGGCTTTGACTTTAAAAGGTCAACAAAGACTTTTAGCTCTTTGATACGCTGACTGTCCATGTCAACCAATACGTTGTCTATTGCACCCACGGGGTAGCGAGTCAACAGATTTCGCCTGGGATTCCGCGTACGCCAGCAACACGATTTTATAGGATGTACACAAATACTGTGCAATAAAATCTATAAACTATATAACTGTTGACAATTTTTACCTTATCCAACCTATTATTTTCAAACCCTTACGTCGCAAAAATTCATTGTAATAGCTCGATTTTCCTCGTATTCCTGCAAAGGTGATTCACCGACTAAATATTTATTTATGACATTTTGTTGATTTTACTAGTTATTTATCATTTTCTCTCGGTTTTAGTATGTTAGAAGCAATATCCTTAGATTTTAATGTCCTAACTGTTACTATCTCCCCTGTGAATACAGGTCCCCCAGCAACACGGGTTTAGCTTCTCGCGTTTTCTTTAGCCTTGTCACCCACTAAAACAGTCAAGCCTCCAGCATCGTTAACTAATAGTACGCTTGCATGTGCAACGTGATCCTGATACAGCGTTGCTACTGCCAATCGCTTTGGCTTCGTTGTGCAACAGTCTGCAACTTGGTTGTTCAAACTCTTAATATTATTGAAATACAAGTTAAAGTAAAATACGAACGAAAGGTGAAGCTCGTGAGCTTCCCTTCTTACGCAGGTCGTTAAACCAGTATTGTTGTAGTGGTACGAGATTTATGGATCCGCAACGGAACACGCGAACCACACCTTAGTTAACTAATTTCTACTTACGATTAAGCTCAGGTCAGGCCAGTTTCCAAGGACGAAACCAGGCTCCCGCCTAAGGTGCCTCCAGTTTCTTGTGCTGGAATGCAAACCACGACCAGTAGTTTGAGCTGCCTTCCTTGCCTCTGCATAAGAAATGAAGCAAGACAATGGCAACCTTAGTACATTTTGTATCATTTATCTCATGGTCTATTACAGTTGCCAATATGTCAACAAGAGATCCGGAAAATGACCTAGGCTTTGGTTGAAGGCTGTCATAGTGGCAGTTTCAATTCAGGCAGAGGATTGTTCCAAGTATGAACAACACGATTTCTAGACAACTTGGCCCTAACCTCCAATCTGTACCTCTGATGCCTAACCTTATGTTCATGCTCCCATACGTGGTCGGATGCAGCAAGTTCAAAGCAATCGAATGGCTTTATCCCGCTAAGGCCCTCCATAATCTTGAACGTGTCTATCACGGCTTCTCGTAGTCTGCGCAGCTCCACAGAGAACTATTCTAGGACCCTTTGTCGTTCCTCGTGGTATTCCAGCGCTGGCCTTCGAGCATCCTAGTCGCCAGTATTTGGATCTCTTTATGCAGGGCACATCCTGCCCATGCCTTACACAGTATTCTAGGTGAGGTCGTACCACTGCCTTATATAACACGAGCCAAACCTCTGGCAGTGTGTTGCATAACGCTAACTTTTGACGGAATAATTTCCGCAGTGTCTTGTTGGCGTCATGGTTACATTGTGCTGAGATGTGTATGTTCCTAATAATGGTACACAAATCTGGAGCCTCGTAAACGGACCGCAATGGCAGGAGGGCGGTTGTAGTTTGCACTGTACCCCCACCGTTGCTGGCAGCGAACAGCTAACATTTACTCGCAATAACGGTCAAATCCCATGAGGAAGTCCATTTCGCTACAGTGAAAAATTTTCTGACAATGCGCCTCAGTCTCCCCTGTTTGCAAGTTTTACATCATCTGCAAAGGTTTCTCTAGGAGCGGAGCCAAATGGTTGATATATGAAAGGAACAACAGCGGGCCCTTAAAGCCAGCACTGAAGAACACCGTTTTGAACAGTACCCTCACTTGAGCATGAGTCATGGATTCTAACGCGTGAGGTCCTCTTACAAATAAATTCCGCCAGCCATTGCAACATCTGGGGATGTATCCCAAACCGCGACAGCTATTCAACTATGAAACGACGGTTGACAGATTCAGAAGGCTTAATGAAGCCTAAATAGCGCAGTTCGGTTGTGATGCGATCTTCGAGACGGCGAGCATTCTGATCCAAACGGACAAGCGGTTGGTAAGCCATGACTTCCACTTGACCAGGCCGTAATGCTCCACTCCTAACAAGTTATGGCCAACTACGTGCCAAAAATCCCCCGGCTTCCTTCGTTTAATGGATGTCATTATCTACATGAAACGCCTCCGATGACCTAACTGCTACGCCCACCTTGCCACGGAATCAACACAGATGATTGATATCGTCCGCCCGTCGCAATCCTGACACACTAAAGCAATCCGGATAGCTAAGCTAATGATACAAATCACCTGAGTCGTCCAAGTTCACCAGCTCCAATCACTCACGGTCAACTCCAAAGCAGCTAACCACACTGCCAACAGAAACCAATTAGTGAAACCTGACTGGGAATAACTACCAGACTAATCGGTGAGATGCAAGCTTGCCAATGGCATCCATGGTACGCAGTGCTACTGGACGTAGAGGTATTTGCCGTGCAAGTGTTCTCCCTGGAAAAAGCCACAAATGTCTGTTTAAAATCACTGCCACTTCGCGAACCTGACGCCAATTAATAAAGTTGTTGCTCCTGCCACGTGTTGGCAAGTTGACTTATTGCACATTTCCCAAGTTCTGTGCCTATACCTATTCTCCCAGAACTACGCCTACATGTTTAATCATTGAAATGCCCCCATTTTCAAAACTTTTCACAGCTTTTTCCTTTTGCTTCACTCACCTGGTCCGCATTGTGTACCCTCCTCCTCGAATCAGTTACTCACCAAAATATTCTAATCCAACGTGCTCCAATTCTTCTCTCTGCATCTTGAAAGCTGCGAGGTTAGACTTTATACAAGCCTTTGGCCAAGTGAGCCTACACACCTGACTACATCTCTATTGCTCCCGCTCTTAGGCCTGTTGGTTGTACCAGCGTGTACAATATTGCGCTATTCTGAGCATGCAGAAATGGCATGCTTCGCTTTGCTGAGAATAAAATATTTAGTTACTTATTTATTTATAAGCTTTTCTAAACATTTGTGCAGGACGCTAATAATGCTGAGTGGCCAATAGTTTTCGGAGGCCGATTTAGACCCTCTTTTGAATTGCGACAGCAGCTCCCATTTTCCAGTCCTGTTAGGCCTAACTTCCTCAAGTGACATGTTGTAAAAACCAAACATGCTACTAGACTATTGTTGCAAGGGGCTTGATGATAGCAGGATGCTCATTTTCAGGTCCCGCCGATTTGTGGGGACCAAACGTGTCAAGACATTGAGAACTTTGGATGCACTTTGTGGAGTGTTTGGTGTGAGACCCTCAACTTTTCGATGAAGTTGTGCGGAAATACGGCATCCATTAGCAACACGATTTCCCTTTTACTATGCATGCAACAACCCCTGTGCATTGTCTGCATTCTCTGTAGCGTGGCAACCCTCCTATATGATTAAGTTACCGGCCCCATCTCTCAAGGAAGCCTACAAATAAACCTAACTATATTATATCTTTGGTTCTTTTCGCTTTCCGGACTAGCCTTAGCTCACAGTGGCTTCTAGCATTTCCCTGCAGTTGCTTGCATTAGCAGTCATCAGAACGACACGCGTTTGGACTAAGAGGAAAATAGAAAGAGGACGCAGGCACGGAATAAAACATATAATTTTATTAAGAATCTATTACTAATGCATTAGGGAAAGTACAGAAGGAAATTTAAGTATGAAGATGGGAGGTACTCAAGACCACTGAAAGGCTTCGATTTGCCACTTATGGGTGTCAAGTTCACGCTTGAATCCCAGCGCTCTGTTGCTCGGCTTGAAAGCCGAATTTAGTCCCTAATGCGCTCTGATCGCGATTTGTCCAGCGTCAGGGAATAACTGCGGTCCAGAGACAATCATACCGGACTAAGTAGTTAAAACAAACCTTGGCTAACCCACCCAAGGAATATATAGAAAGTTAAAAAGTGGTCTTCTTCAAGCCTTTGGTAATGCATTAACTGGATGCTTAACCCACAGAAACCTCTCTAGCTCCATTTATTCCCGGACGCGACGAAGCGTTTAGGCAGTATTCCTGCTAGATCCAAAAAAGGCGTTGAATCTGTTCAAAGCTATCTAGTTCTTGGATACTTCGACCTGTGGCAAGCAATTTGTTTGCCTCGGTCTTGACTGCGAACTTATGAACAGTGTTGCCTGATTTTTCTATTATATAAAGGTTTGTGTGTTTCTGCTAGTATTGTGTCTGAGCCTGCTGAAAACAATCGAATGGTTGACACCTCGCAACTTCTGTCTTCCCTCTGCCTTGACGAGATCCTTTATGGTGGTTGGGCTGATCAAGCCTGCAGTTTGGCATTAGGCACACATGATCCAGATCATCTCCATCAAATGTTACAACTAAATTTGCAGCAGTTCGTCGAGCACGTGACGAGATATATGCGCAACCAGCTTCTGTCTCCCTCGGCTCACATTTTGTCAAGTTCTTCTCATACCTTGGTAACATCATTATTTAGCTAACATTTTTCTCCTTAAATAAATGACTATTTATTTACTATCGACAAATTGTGGTACGATTTTTGGCTTGGTCAGAATAATGCATTTTTCTATATGCTAAGCAAATGAGCAAATCAAAAAGCAGGAGTAAATAAATAAATAAATATTTTATTCTCGAATATGCCAGACACACCCATGGAGGCATGATCAGATACGTACAACTGTACAAACATTTTATGGCAAATGTAACCGTGAGAGTAAAAAATCGTTCATATGTCCATGACTGGAACAGTACAATAAATAAATAAATGAATAAATAGTTTATGCTCAGTTTCATAGACACACCAACTTAGGCATGATCAAGGTTTGAAAACAGATGTGTAGCGCGACGATACATCAAGTTCTATCATGTGTACTTGAAACGGTGTCGGGAAGAGTTGATGTGTGAGTCTAGTCGACTTGCCAATAGGTAGTTGTAGGCAGTGACTTTATTCATTGGCGAGTCACATCCGCCACGTCGCAGTGTTGTTATACAAACCTTTGTGGCTTTTTATATGGAGAAGGCTTGCCAGGCGAAAACCCACCACGTCCTGCAGCACTGCCGTAAAGCATTTTAAACATTAATGTTGAACTGGCAAAGCCGCTTGACGACTGGTTTTACCTTCGGTTTTTCGCAGAGTAATGGCTTCCAATTTCCTCTATTAGTTGGACAGGTAATTGGGTCGGGGTCGCCATGAATTTTGAGGTCGATGGAGGAGAGGGACATCGCAATGTATCTTCTTGTTGTATGTCCAGGTGAGCAA